TGGTCCCGATTGAATAGTCGCCATTAATAGAAGTGTGACTAGTTCACTTACGATGTCAAGCGGTAAGCAGTGTGAAATCCTTATAAAATATTGTAATCAAAATTTTGCGTAAAAAATTCTTTAACATGTAAAAGATATAAATACATTACTATTTTAATTTTCCGCAATCGGTAGTGACCCTCACACGATGCCCTCAGTGGGGCAAGCTAAGTCACGCCAGTACGCATCAACTTCTGCGCAGATGCCCCAAACCTAACCTAACCCAACCCAACTCAACCAAGACGGTGACCGCTGACTCAGCACATAATGGCGTCCTGCGCATCTTACCATGATTATTGAATGGGTTGTCCAATACTATTGAAATTTTGAATCGACGTCATGCCACGTATACTTTAATAAAATTAATACAATATTATATCATAAGTCTTATAATAAAACCGCACGAAGACATCAAAGTCACGAGGTGGACGCCCCGCGGAATCGGCCACGACCACTTCCAATGTGCTTTACCGAAACGTAATAAGCAATAATATGCCTTTCACATTTTCATGGTAGTTTATATATGCGTCGAAAGACATCACCGGTAGCTAAAAATCTCAGCGTTATAGCTAACTTGATCGCAACAGGTATCGCTTCTCTGAAGTGAGTGTTCCTTTTTGCGATTTTCGGCGCGACTATTTACAAAAGCGTGTTGAAGTTTGCTCTGGACATTCGTGTAAAGTTTCTAAATAGAACCTCTTCATTTACTTCCAAATCCTTCAGAATTCCAAAATTCCGTTTCTTTAAATAATCTTTCATCCATACGTGTCGCCGCCGTTGCTCTTTTCTTTTTCTTTCACCTGCGATAACTAAATATGCTGCACTTATGCCCATAAGTAAAGTTGCGTCTGCCATGTTCCTCTCTCCTGTTCTGAAGAATTGCCTGACAAATGGCAGCATAGTGTGGACAGCTAGGGGCATGCCTTTGACACATTCAACAAAGGCATGCCCTAAACGAAAGTTGAATTTAAAGTTGAGAACGAAAGCACACGAGTGTAGACATAGGTTAACAGAACGATCAAGGAACTAAAGCTTTATATGTACGACAGCAATGACTTTTGTTTCAGGTCTACTATCGTGCGTTACATTGGAATATACTGTGTAAATCTAACAGTGAACATGAGGGGTATGGCGTGTTTTCGGTGACGTAATGAGAATGGAGTCCAGTACACCAGTAAAAATACTCTGTCATGTCAGAGCATGTGTGATTCCTGAAAAAATTGTATTGAGACTACTTGAAATATGTCGACATGCAATGTGACCCGAGAGAAGATGTATGTTTCTGCCACATCCTCCACATGTATAATTCCACAATGAAAGACTGCACACGAAGCAGAATTCTTACGAGAACATGAAAACAATCAATAAAGCAAGCTCACCCTGTGCCGCCTAAGCCAGTTCCTGTGCCAAAAGACTGATGACATTCTGCTACAAATTGGCTGCCAGCTGCTGCTTTTCTTCAGGTAACAAATCCATGTAACAGGCTGAATTATGATGTCACAACACTCCCGAGTCCCCTCGCAACTTACGCCTCAGTATCCTCTGTAGAAGCTCCACCTAAAACAAATTTTTCTTTCAAGTTCAGAAAATCTAAATTTCGCAAACTGTGAACAAGGGATAAGAAGGAATCATATATGGTGTAGGGTAGCCTAAAACACCAAATGTCATGGATTTTTGGGGCGGGGAGGGGGGGGGTTGAGTGTCCCTTGATTCCATCCATATGTTTGTAAAAAGTCTATAGGAATAACAGAGATTAAACTTATGTGTATTCATGACTTCAGAGTGTGTAGATCTGTCTTTATGGCAAACAGTCAACTTAAATCATGCACGTCAATTCTGCTCCATAACACGTAATCAGAATGTCACTACAGGTTCCCAGTCTCATAACCTTGTAAGAAATAACATACATAATGATATAAATTCTGAAAGTGCCACTGTGATTATTCACTGCTTATATTCTTGTCACATTGATTACTTTCTTATGATCCACAGATTTTTCATTGAAACTCATGATGTTGAACATTGCTGTGCAAGAAGAGAACTCCTTACTATGTTATGGCTGGCCTCGGTCCATTTTGTAACATTGTGGAATACCTTACACTTGTTACTGTGTTTCCATGTTCCTGGTGTTGTTCAAGGGAAAACCTTGAGAGTCGCAAAACACCATCAGCATTAACTTCCAGGCTGATGGCTGAGTCTTGAATTTTTTGGCAGCAGGAGACGATGGGTGCTCCCAATGCACACTCTCGTTGCGGTCGATAATTACGTATCGAAGTCTCACTGCCAGTAATGATGTTGTACAAAAAACTGCTGCCTTCACCATGTTACTGCTCCAGCAGACGAGAGCTGATGTCCACACGATTGTGCTTGCACTCTTTTGTCAATTCCTTTGGAGCCCACCATGAACAAACTTTGTTTAATCCACGAATCACATGCACCATTTAATGACCTGAATCTTCAATGATGTCTAATGTTTACACAGTGTCCCTTATTGTTATACTTTAATCAACTTCTTCAGCTGTTCTGTTGCTGCTAAACCTTACAAAACTGCCCAAGACTTAACAGATGTATCACTCTGTTGAAACTGTTTATAAAATTCTGTAACCATAATAAATTTCTTTTATAAATAATATACACTTGATCAGAACTACACCTTTCAATTGACAAAACACATTCTATTCATTTATGCACCCAATTTCTCTCTCCAGGTCGACGGAAATTAGTCCAACCTTATTCCAGGTAAGTTTATTAAATCTCTAAGTTCACAGAAATATTTTTCATGCACAGAAAATGTTTGCACCTCATTTATAATAAACTTTTCTATTCTATATCAAAAAACAATTTAATTGAATTGAGTGTTCCACTTACAACACAACCATTATACTACACGTAAACCCTTTCATGCACATAACAATTACACAGATGGCAATATTCAATTCTTTCACTGTACCCCACTGTTCTAGATAATGCAATGCTTGAAATTGGTATGATCATTATTTAAGTCATTTTCTCACTCAATAAGCACTTGTCATATACAAACATCTTCTGTGTTTTGAAATGCTCTTACTGGTTGGTGTAGTGTCATCTTACTCGGTACTTTCCTGTCAGGCTACACACTGCTAAATGCTTCATGAACAACAGCAAAACATGTCATAAAATGTTCCTAGAAATAACACATTCTGTTCATGAATACACAATGTTCACACCCGCATAGAATTTGTAAGCATCGGCCTAGCAGCCAGGGTAACCTTGGCATGAGTGTCATGAGGTAGGCTGGGAGAGACGATTAATCATGGGTGGACTGCTTCTGATTTATTGTTACACATGATTGTTATCAGGCTGCATTTTAAATGGTACAACCTGTCCATACACAATCAAATAACAGGATAATTACACTTACATAAACAAAACCTGGTAAAAGATGCAAAGAATTTATCATATCTAGTTCCTAACATAAGAATATGGTTACAGATTGCAGCATAAGGAAAAATAGTGACCAATAAGGGAGAATGAAGCTCTGACAAGGAAAAGAAAATTGTACACTAAACATAATTTAAAGAAAGTGGAAAATAAGTGGAAAAGTAAATCTGTTAAAACCAAAGCAAATAAACAGGCCATTTAACAGCACTTTAACAATGCTGAATTAAAGGTGTAGCATGTGCAAACAACTGTTGAAGATGTCTTCACAAATTGTGTCAAAAAATATGGACCTCGGGTTGGAAAAGTAGTTACACAGAACCTCGATGGTTTCAAATGAGAAATGTATTTGTGAATGCAAGTTTGGCCCATGAAACCAACAATATGTTGTTAATTACAAACTACTGCATGAGTATTTCCATAATACACTGTCCCAGACTATAAGATTTTATGGAAAAACGAAACGTGTATGGTAGATTGTGGCCTCTTCAGATAAATGCTACCCAAAGGTTTACATGCCCCTAAATGATGTAATTACGTTAGTAATATTAAGAGCACAAATCCCCCTGTAAGAAACTTAATACAAAAACTGTTTGCGAAAGAAAGCATGTGGTATTGGGATGCGTTAGGAAGCCAATTATAATAGCTTTGTTCTTCCTGTATCACATGTAAGTTAAGCTCCAAATTACAATGCAATACTTACTCAGTTAACATGAAATTACAAACTCACTCAGTAAACATAGTACATGTGGTTTTCTCTGGCAGGGTTCATATAATTTTTTTTTCATCCCACTCAATTATATCCCATACGTCTCGGTCTGACATTGTAAATATATTCAGGTTTGAGCAGCTAGTTACATTAAATCACACTAATTAAGAAACTTTGTTATTACAAGCAAATACATGTGTCTGGAATATCATTCAGGCTGCAGAATATATGGTAAAGCGTAAACAAATTCGTATGCCCCTCTAAATGTTGTAGCAAACAACTGATTGCTGTCAGGGCCAACTGAACATTGCTACCACTACAGCCATGTTTAGATCTCTAGATGGCACATACATTATCTCACATATTCTTTGATGTTAGTTTGTCACAGGTGATCCAATATCTGCAAGTAGTTAAAACGACCTTTGGTAGAATGCTTGATAATCTGTGGTAATGGGTTACGTGTGGGGCTTTTGGTGATGTGGTTGTTCAAGGGTTAATTATACGGAAGAGGAATGGGTTTTTCATGCCGTTTTATTGTTGTAATTTCATGCATTTGTTTGCAAATTTCTGAAGGAAATATATCTGACAAAAGACTTTGTGGAGACCCAAATTGTTCAGGTACGATAAGGTTTCAATACTGTCAGGACACTACTTGTCCTTGCTTTATGTATATAATGTTTTATATTGTGAACATTTGAAACTAATACATTGAACTGTATGTCAGTTGTATTATAATTTACAAGAATGAATATGAATTTACTTAATCGCCATAAAAAGTGATTTGTGATGTTGTCTGGACCTATGAGGGTGACATTTATTTTGTCTTTACGTGCTCACTTTCGAATAAGAATATAACTAATTTATGTTTTTATTTAATTTTAGATCCTGTTTCTGTAGCCAAGACACTGACTCGATATTTCAGTGATGATGCACGGATATTGTCTTTTGCTAAAAATGTGGATTGTTTAATTTACAGTAAGTCAGCAGGTTCTAGACCAGATTTATGGGGAGCAGAGGTATTTAAATTTTTTATTATAAGAATTAAAGAAATTAAACTGTTGTTGAATGAATAAGCTATATAAATCTTCCATTGGCACACTATGATTTGTCTCATGCTAAAGATTGAAAAAAAATTGCATTTGACTTGTGATATCACATATGTATCTTCATGAGTAGAACTTAAATATTCACTGATGTGGCTTTTTAAACTTTCTGTGTAAACTGTGAGATCTAGAACTTTTTGTTACGTTTATTGTGACTTACTGTTTGATGACTGAATTAGTATAGGCCTATTTGGAGCAACTTTACAGCACAGTGAGGTCATTTAGGATTCACCTATGTAACATATTTTAGCAACTGAGTTATACTGAACCAAACTAAGTGAAAGTACGCCAGTTTTAACCAGTGAAGAATTTCAGATTTCATGCAGAAAATAAAAGTATTTCCATAATTTTTGCTATGCACCTACAATGTCAAAACATCATGTGGGTGAAAGTTCGGAGATAAACATTTATAAGACAAGGGCTGTATTCAGTACCCTCTGAACAAGAAAATGCTTTATCACCATTACTTTTGTTTAGAATACACCATAAAGAAAGTCTAAGAAAACAAAGAGGGGTGGATTTGGATGGGGTCCGTCATCTTTTACCTATGGTATTAAGTTATTGAGTGAAAACAAATATTATAAAGAACAACACAGAAAATTTACTGAAAGAAATTTGGTTTAGAAGTAAACAAGAGACAGCTAAGTCATAATGACTACATGGTAGACATACAAACTTGTGAGGTGGAAGTGGAACATAATTAATGTGTAAGGTTCTGTAATTATGCTTTGAAGAATGTGCATTTAAAAAAAACTTGAAACAACGTGGCAGTCTCTCAGTTTTGTTTGGTTTTGAGTTGACGGTAATAACTAATGAATCATTATGCATTTAGTATTGTTTGTACGTTAATAGTTACAAATGGTGTGATATTTATGCATTATGTGTTGTGTTTCTTCCACCTCCTATGATTGCTGAATATTTCAGGGTCTTAATGACACAGTCTCTGATACAGTTCTCAGTTACATAACTTTTACTACTACGGCGTAACAGCCCAAAATCGAGCCCTAGCCTCCTCTATCTTCTTCCTCCAATTCTCTCTATCCAACGCTATCCTTCTCCAAGCTGCTGTTCCAAGGAGATTTCTGGAGTCAGTCGTCACTGCATCCAGCCATCTACCTTTAGGTCTTCCCACTGGCCTTCTCCAATATATTGTTCCTTCCAGTATTTTTTTGGCTATCCTATACTCTTCCATCCTGTAGACATGTCCAGCCCATTCCAACCTTCTCAGTTTAATGTGAGTTACTATATCATCACTTTTATATAGTCTATAAAGCTCATGATTGTAGCGTATCCTCCACTTTGAGTTTTCCTGAACTGGTCCAAAGATTCTTCTCAAAATCTTCCTTTCAAGTGCGCCCAGCATCATTTCTGTTTTCTTTGTCAGTGTCCAGAGCTCACTTGCATAGCAGAGGATACTCCTGATGATGGTCTTATATATCCTTATTTTACTGCTTTTATGTACACAATTAGATTTCATAATCCCTTTTAACGCAAAATATATTTTATTTGCTACTGTTATTCTACTTTGTACTTCGGTCAACTCATCATTATTACTTGTCAGGATTGTTCCAAGATATTTAAATTCTTGTACTTCTTGGAATATCTCCACTGTCATGTTAGGCTGGATCATTGTTCTTTGTCTATCTCTACTTTGTATCATCCTACATAACTTTTACTTATGGTCTTTCATCACTGTAATCAGAAGTGTGGAAAGGATTTAAATTTATTACGTTTCAGTTTGAGTGGTGCAACAGAAAACAAGTTAAATGGAAGGTTATGCATATTATGACTTTCATATGTCCTACAAAGATATCTTTAGGAAGCTAAACAATGTTTATACACTTTATGAAGCTCCTGAGATTTTTTGCTACTTAGTGTTGAGAAAAGCATTTGTTGTTAGTGATAGAAGAAGTGATTGAATAACAATGTATTCACGTATAATCATTTTATATATATCTTGTCACTTTGTAAATGTGTATAGGATGATATAATGAATGTATTAAAATAAATTAAACACATTCTAAATAAAACTCCCCTAGAATAATGTTGTATATACCTAACAGTGCAGTGCAAGTAGAGAATTTGTTGGTCAAGCCCTTGTTTAATAGAAAACACTAATTCCTTTATCAGAAGAAAGTGAGAAGTCATATGAATATGGGTATTAAGGCCTTTTTCTTTTTAGAGGTAGAAGCTCACAAATTTTTGTGTGTGGTTAGAAGACAAAACCATTGAATATTAACTTCTGTGTAGCCTGACTTTAAACAGCATCATTGACTTTAAGTTTTATTAAATGCAAGAATATCTTGCATTGTTTTTGAATTTTAAATGATGTTTTAATTTTCAGATAAATGGAAAAAGAGGTTATGTTCCTAAGGGCTTTGTGAGAGAATATAAGATTCTGAA